ACTTTATTGGCAAAAGTGTGAAGAATTTCATTACATTTCGTAACAGATTCAACATGATCATAATCTTCCCTCCTATTTGTGTTGGTTGCCCATGTGTACTGAGAATCTGATGTGGAAGCCATTATTGTTCTTTTGTAATATTCATATGCAGACACCAGATGGCATACAGGTCCTGTAGAGATTCTGCAGGACCATTCTGAAACGGCAGAATTTTGCCGGCATTAAGGTGGTAACAGACAGCCAATTGTGCCTCATTTTTAGCTCGCCAGATATTGATGTAAGAATTAAATTGTGCATCTTGCAGCTGAGAAGCTGAAAATAGTGTTTGCAAACTGAACTTTCATCTGAATTGTTATGGTATCACCTTGGTCAATTGATTGAATTGCAGCAAGTGTTTATGTGGAAGCAGGTATGCCTGACTAAAGATAATAACCTTAGAACAGCAAACTCTACTTTGGTGTATTTGGATAGGACCCAATGTTTTTCTCTGACTGGGATAAGATGCTAGTAATGACATGTTAAAGCCCACATTTGGATTACACATATTTGGCAAAGGATTGAGACCGAGGTTTGGGTAGGTTGCACAAGAAGAAATAATAGCTTGATTTGCAATAGAATTTGGCACAGCACACTGACAACAAAGCTGATTTCAGCTTTCCAGGCCTAACAAACAGAGCTTCCTGCTGGAACCTCGAGTGAGATAGGCTGCGTTTTGTTAAGCAAATTACCTCCACAAACTGCCTGATATAGGAGAGGTAGCAATGAACATAAGATGTGATCGAACAGATGAACAAGGTATTTGAATATTCTGCTTCCAACCAGAACTGGTGATTGATAACCAAATTCTTTAATTGTTTGAATACGTTTAAATTTTATTCAGTTATGCTTTGCTTTAATTTATTTAAATGTGTGTCCACCTTTAGGANTTTTTTTTTACTAAGGTCACACTTGTTCAGTTTTTAAGCAAGTCTGCATAGAGAGTCAGTCAATACCTCATCAGATGGGTACATTGGTGTCAAATACACAGCAATTTCTAACTGAATATCTTTAATAAGGATTCCTTTGGGGGTTCTTGATTCTATCCAAAATTACATAACCATCACAAGCCGATTGCATCAAAGGAACTTTCTTGTGAGTCGGAAGGTATTCCTTGCGGTTTCCTTAATAATTATAACATTGGGACTGAATTCTATCAATTCTGTAACTCACTTTGTCAAAATAGAATGGCACAATGTGACACTGCAGTAGAAATATTGTAACAAATTTTAACATATGGACATGTATATTGTCGTTGTCACTCTGTTGAATAATTCAAATCACGTGGAATTAATTTGGACTAATTCCTGCGTGACCTTTGGATTTCTATCAGTCGTTTCTGTAAGCCTGATTGAACAGCTTGCCATTGACTTACCCTTTTAAAGAGTTGCTCTTACTAGCTTATAAAATCACGCATTCATCAAAGAGCAACCTTCGATCTTTCTTCTCTCAATGTGCATTCTGAATCGGTTTAGAGAATTCTAACACGTCTCCATCATAAGACGGTGGTCTTTCTTCCCTGGCTGCTGTAGTTGAAGAGTTAGATTTCCAGTAGTCACTTACACACTAACTGTAGAATTGATTGCAAAAGACTTTGCACAGGGCAAAGTTTCGCAATATGAATAAACAGTTTAGATGGTGCTTTATGCAGGAAAATCTGGCCAAAAATGAGTGCTTAGAAACTGATTCAAGAAGGGTGTATTTTGTAACCGATTGGATGTGCTACTCATCATGTTGATTCAATAGTTGATGCAAAGTGCTGTTGATCCATGGGATTAAAATTCACTGTGTTCTTTCTGCTGAAACTTCTTTCATGTGATAATTAGAATAGAAAAGAAGTTAAAGATGTTAAAGATCCCATGGCACTCTTCGAAAAGAAAAGGGAGTTTCTCCCAGGCAACAATCGCCCAAATAAAATTGTTCTCACACTTCATGGCTGTTTTTGAGACATTCATGTGCATAAGTTGGCTGCTACATACACAGTAACTTCACTTTGCAGTAAATTCTGTGATATGCTGTAAAAAGCTTGGTTTCAACAGCAATTGAACATGAAGCTTCAGAAAGCAGTACCTCAATATAAATGTTATTTATGTAATTTGCACCCGTGTGGCTAATGAGGCTTCCTTAACAAATGCAATTATAAGATTTATCACTCCTTAGTGGTGAAGCAAGTCATATCAATTTCATTTCAGTAAATGTCACATTGAATTGGTTCTTAAAAGTTGCACTTTTTAGCCATAAATGTTCAAACAATGCCTTAGACGACTTAAACAATCAGCTACACTCAGGGTAGTCAACAAAATTACATTTTGGAACGGTTCTCTCTTGCCTGTGAGCACTGGAGGAATCTTATTATAGTGTGTTTGGGCAATAATAGCTAAACTGCTTTCATCTCCTCCTATTGCCTGAAGGGGTGGTGGTGTCCGTCTGTCAAAGATGAGCACAACACCCATGGGTGTTTGCCATTTTTGATTAATTTGCCAAGCCAGGCAGTAGACAGATTCAATAGATTTCTTCATCAGTTGCACAAGATATATGGTTGATTCACTTTACAGTATATTCTGTGAAGCACTTTGGGATGTCTCGAAGATGTGATAAGGTGCTATATCAAATGCAAGGATTATTATTCTGACTGCCACTGCCTAACTTTGCTTTTTCTCCTGCCCCTTCCCACCTTAAATTTCACTTAAGTAGAGTTTCCCTGAGAATCCAATTAAGAACTTCCCAGGGTGAATCTGAACCATAGAGGTTTGGAAAATCCCAGGTTCTTTCTGAGATGATCTCAGTCAATGTAGCGGTAGGAAGTGTTACAATCTATCTTAGTACCACTGAGCTAGGGAGGAGGAAAACACAATCGGACAATATTCCCATTTCTGATCCCTGTTCACGTCTCCTCCTCAAAAGAGTGTGATTGTCAGGTTTGTACATATTCTGCTGGTCAGTCAATGTTTAGCTGTGATGCACTTATAACGGGATTGCCCTCTTTTAATGTGAGGTGAATGAGTCCTTACTGCCTTCCCAAGTGATGAGACTTGCCCAAAGAGATGGCTTTCTTATCCCCAGAAACCAGCAACATGAGATGATATGGAGGCCATTGGCGGGTGCTCAGTTTCCAGATCACGAGCCAGTATTAACTCACCACAGACATCAAAGTTGTCATTGCTGGCACACTTCGTTTGTGTTTGCAATGTAATGATAAGCATCGTCTTTGTAAAGGCCTGACACCTGTCAAATACAAATGTGAAACTTATTACAAAGATCACATATATTAGAACCATTTTCAATGGAGGGAAAACAGGGCACCGTTTGCTGGTTGTGTCGTCTTTACAAATATATGCTTTAAAGACTGAAGCTGCATCTCAAAATCAATCATCATGAATCAACTGTCATTTCTGTCTTTGAAATGCTTTTTTTTAAAAAAGGTTAAAATGTCATGTTGAATCAAGCAGGCTGTGCCCTTTCTTGGTGTTGCTGGCACCAGCTTCTGTATTCCTGCAGGATCAGCAGTATTGTAATTACTGTGGATTTGGTGTCATTGTGGTACAAAAATCACACCCGCTGACTGGAGCTGTATATCGCAGCCAAGACATGAGGTGCTTGCTTAATGTTGGCATTTAAAGTAGACTTGTAGAATTGATATAGAAAACAGGGGTTAGATTCTTAAATGTATTTATCTTCATTCATTCTTATCTTTCTGGCAAAATGAACCGATGTGTATCTTGCACATAAAGATTTGATTACTAATTTATAATAAATATATTCTCTCTACAGGGTGATATTCCACCAATCTTAAACAGTTTTTTTTTGCAATATGGTGGAAAATTCTCAAATTCACTCTTAATTTGGAAGCCAGTCCTTGAAAAGAACCAGCGTGTAAATTAAGACTGAGGTTTCTTAATTTACTGCAGAAATAGTTAGCAACTCAGATGCTTTAGTACAGTATTAGCTTTGAACTGGCAGCTTCCCTGATCCTAGCTGGAAAGGTTGGGCAAATGACAGTGTTCTGTTTACTTTAAGGTGCAGTTCCAAGATAAGTTAAACAAATAATTTCAAGCCATCCACAAACATTTAGTTATGAGAGAGACAATGTACATTAGTACCATTAATCTACTGTGGGTAGGGAATGGTTTTCACAAGAGCTTTAAAACACTGGTGCAAAACCAACTAAACCCGTTAAGGTTAATCCTCTGGTGTGTTTCAGTATCATACCTGACACACAGCAGTCTGTTCTGCCACTGCAGACAAAGTGGAGCAATACTCCACCCTCAGACTCCAGATGATGTATTGCCAAAGGACAAACTGATGGCAAATTGTCTGTCTGGGTGCAATTAGTGTCAGCCCCAAATACAAATCTGAAAAATGTATGCCTAGATTTCAGTACCAAAATACAACATTTTTATTATGTTTTATTACAAAAGAAAAGAAATAAAGTGCCTTCTGAATAACACAATACATATACATTAATAACATACAAAACAATAACAGGCACATTTGCTGATTTCATGTTATCTGTAAGATTTGGCAGTCTTTGGTGATTTGGGTTTCAAATCGGTACAGTCTGTTCAAACGTAGACTGATTTCTAATCGGATTCCTCAATAAGGAAATCCATGAGTGGGGACACCTTTCTGGCATTCCCAAGTCTGTCCCCCATGTTACGGCAACTCACAATTCTGCTTTGGAAATAGATTTCAAAGAAGCAGAGAGTTGGAGCTGAGTCCTTTGTTTCCTACGAAATTCAGTTAGAAATCATCACCTGCAATATTAAATCCACCCCCCCCCCCCAATGTGGGTACAGAGCATCCTAATCCCCATTTTTAAAAGACAAAATTACCCCCAACATTTGCTAAATGCACAATATGAAGGTCATTTTAGATGGCCTCAAAGCTCATACATTAAATGGATACTTAAAGTTACACATCAATTTCACGCTTCAATACCAACTACGAGACTCCCAACTCTTTGCTTTCTAAACTTTTTATCCTGTACAATCAGTTCAAACCAGTAGCTTTCTAAGCAAATTTGTCACAGCTGAAGTAAATGTACCTTACATAAATTCTTCAAGTGTATACTTTGGAAAATGTCAAACGAGTATACACATTATAAGAATGCTATGTATCAGCATTTGGTGTTCCATTAGATTTTAGCATCAACTTTACAGAACTGATTTTGCTTTTGACACCACTCTCTCCTCCCCCCAACAGCTCACATTTTTCTTTTTAGAAACATAACAAACACATTCCACCACTATTAGCCACACTGAGCATCAATACTGACATTTTGAAATACACACCACTTAAGAGACTCTACAAATATAAAAAGTACAGTTGGGTTTCTGAATGCAAATTGGAAAACCTGACAAAATATGTACTATGTTTAGGTCACTGGTTTAAAATAATTAGATTACAACAGTATAAATGGATACAAAGAGTTTTCCCAATGAGCTATCAGCATTTTTCTACAGGTCTTTGTTCACCCTCTAGAAATACTTAAGACTGCCAAACCTGGGTATAACATAGTGAAAAATGCACAGTATTACCAAACATTGAAGACAGTTGAACCATTTCTGAAGTGACTAACAGATATTGATTCCAGAACAATTCAGTACAACTATGGGCAGAGTTCCATTTTGTAATAAGATGCTTAACAGTCTAAGATTTCTACTCATATAAAGGAAAATCTCTTCTTTATCATGGGTTACAGCAAAAGGGATATAGCCATTGCAAACATGTACAAGACGTGCAAAAACAAACCTATGAAATTAAATGGTAATGCACAGTGATGAGAGCACACCAAAATATTTTTTACATAGTGCATAGGAATTTAGAAAATAACTTTTAGCAGTCAGAAATTTGTGATTTCTACAGTTATACCACTGGGTTAAGATTAGTATTATATTATAGGAGAATTATAACATAAATATTAGTGTATGTTCTTAAGCAAAACTTTATTCTAATGACTAATAAAATCCTAGTGAGGTTTTGCATTTATCTAAAAAGGTATTTAGTCAAGTTATTATCATATTTATTGTAAGAGGCAGTACTGTAAGACATTACATGCAGATGGTTTGATCCAAGATAAAGCCTTTTAATAAAATCAAAGAATAATGTCAAGTAGGCTTAGTGCTAGTACAAAGGTGATATCATTGCTTTGAATCTATATGACTGTTTCAATTTTGAAATTGAATACTTAGCCTCCAGATACAAGAGTAGCACACTTGGTACTGATAACCTGCAGAGTCCCTTTGCATGAACCCACCCAATTTAGCAGAAAGAAACAGGAGGTGCTGACTAGTCAAGAGAGGGAGGAGAGATGTTGAATGCACTGCCTTACTCAGTCTCCACGCCAATAAACTTCACTTGGAGTTGATGAGTTATTCAAATCATCTTCCTAGCTCACACTGATTATGTACGAGACGACCAAATGCATTTTAAATGTAATTCAGCAAAGGGCATTTATTTGCTGCATTGGAATGTAGGATTTTAAAAAGAAATAAACCACACATTTCCCACAAATATTACTAAATGATGCTCCACTCAGCTGGAAGCTCAGAGCCTCTTTGACACAATGCATGGACAATGGGACCTCTCATTACAAGAGCATGTCATCAAAGTGACCTAAATGGACTGAGACATGAAGAAGTACCACCTTCTGGTGTCCTACATGATTGAGAGCGCATGTTTGCTCACTGATATGGTGGCTTTAAAAAAAAATGCCTTAATAGTGTTTAATAGTAGAAAACAGAAAAGAACTATGAACTCAACTTGGTAAATTATCAAAAAATTAAGTACAGAAGCCTAGAGATTCACATCTATACTATAGCTCACTGGTTCTCAGGGTATTAATTCCCTTTCGTACAACTAATTCACAGTATCCCAATATATTTCTGCTACATGTTGTTACCTAAAATACAAGTTGGACACTAAAACTGCTGTAGATATAGTCAGTGCTCAGTAGTTTACTTACCATGGTGTGTATACATGTTACAACAAGATATTGCTACAATATGACTGACAGGTTGAATTCGTTTTCTTGAGTGATATTTTCCTACCTTTTGCCAATGCTGTTTTAAATCACATGATTTATCTGTACTTACAAACATTTTATACTAACAATGAAGAATAGCAAACACTTGCAACAATTGTTGCTTTACTCTGTTCTTAAAAGGAAATGGGATGAAATCAGGGTGATGTTTTGTAATGTACTAAAAGGCATTAAATTGCCAGTCTTCTCCAAAGAAGGTTGGGTGCCCATCCTAGTTAGGGACATTGTTAAGATGCTGTCAACCTCTGCTTCTCACCAACACTATACATGATGTCTCATTGTCATCCAGACTAGGGAGGTATTCAACACTTTATCATCTCTCTGGGACGTGATGCCCTCATTCTGCTATCTCAATCTGGAAATAATGTGCTCCAAAAAGTCCCATCTATCTCAGTCAGTACTTCAATTCAGATATTGGTCATGTATCTTGTCACACATCAGTAGGTTTAACCAAAAGGCTACTGCTCCCAAAAGATGACTAACCTCATGCTGGTGGTGCATATTTCTGATAACTGAAACGTTTATTAAGTCTTGAAAACTCTTTACTGGATTTTCCTTAATGCCAGGTTAAATCTTTGGAACCTTTCCTACATAAGCTCCAATTTGAACAAATTACTTTCACTAACATAAGCACTAATTGCAACAACTACTGGGTCAACCTGGAAATGTTAAAGCAAGGCTAATTTTCTCATTATTATCCACTTTTCACCAACTCAAAATAGGAGCGAGGATCTCAGGTCTGTCTCCATATCCATCTTTAATAATCCTTTTTAGCATATAATAAAAAAAAGCAACAGCAAGATGCAGACACATCATCTTATCTGTCTTCCCCACTGTACCAGTTTTTTTATATAACTACAAATTCACAAGAGAGGTTTAGATGGAAAATGCCTTTTATGCCTAATTGATCTCCTTCCAGAATATCTGTTCATCCAATTCCAGGACCAAGCTATTTTTAAATGAGTGTCTTAAAGCCAGTGTCTTGGCTTTGACCACCCATTCTGAGAACCTGGTCTAGCCTTTAATTAAAGAAACATATTCCGTGTCTGTCCTAAATGTCCAATTCACAACCCTGAACCTGTGTTCTTTTCTATTGCCTTTTGAGTATCTGAAAGCATTATTCCAGGTTTACTTTCACTATCCTGTTAAGCATCTTATATTCCTCTATAGCATACATGTATACTAGGACCAAAATGGATTCCAACATGGACCTTGTGGTACCCTACTTAATACTTCATCCATTTCAATTACATCAAATGTCTGCCTCTATCCCTTAAGCCACCTACTAATCCGCATCCATGTCTACTTTACTTTTGATACCCACTGGCAGTAACGCAAAGAAACCGTTCATGTGGTGCTTAATCAAAGGGCTTTTAGACATCTAGGTGTACCATGTCATGCGATTTCCACTATAGGAATAGTTGGTTCAACCAAAGTACACTGAGGCACTACACCACTACCTCTATTTTCATCTAACTCACCTCGAGTTCCTTCCCTTTAGCCTGTTACAAATCTATGTACACATCTTCTACTTGATACCCACTGAAGCAAAGGCTCATCGTATTAGCAGTTTTTTTTGTTTCCAATAATAAAACATTCACATTTTGTATGAGAAACGTGTCGATTTACATGTGGACATTTAACCCATTGAAAACTGGAGTCAAATTTCTGCTGCCAAATTAACAATGTGATACCATCAATTTTCCTTTTTAGTTTGTTTGCAGAATAATCATTTGAAGTTCTGAACACATCTACAATTCTAATTTATAATACACAACTCGGAGATTTATACACAATCATTGCATAAATCTAATATGAAGGATGTCCACATTTTGAAAGCTGAAAATTTTCAGTAAATGTGCGGTAAGTATACACTAGTGGGATACAAGGTTTGAGCAGTCACTGCTGTATGCAAGGTTTGGTACATTTCAGAGTTATCGTGTCCACCTATGAAAATGAACCCTTATAACATTATATAAAATGTGTGCTCCTGTGCATTTGGCACACAAAATTATTTTATTTCCATCCACTAAGATTTCCTATCACTCCCTCCCTGAATAAAAGGAGAGTCTTGTACTGTAAGCCCAAAATTGCAAACAAATTGGGAATAGTATGTCATCCAATATATCATGCATTTCCATGCTGTTCAGCTGATGGTTACAGATACACACATTTACTAAAACTGAATGTCACACCGATAACCATCCATGCATGTGATTTACATACTGAAAAGATATCCAAGTGGCACAGTACAACAATTGTAGTTTTTAAGCTACCAGCCTTAGTCTTTCCAATTTCATATGGTTGGTCCCTTACAAAGGCCACAGTGGTATAGTTGTAGCTCACTTTGTGTTTCACACGACAGCATCCTTGATTTCAGAACCAATTCTCACTCTAGGTTGTGGGCAACGTGGGGAAATCTCCACATACAAGTTTTTTTGATTCAGCTGACTATTTGGTGATTCTGGATACTCAGAGTCCTTGCCACTGGTGGCATTTTCCAGCACTGGTGTACTGCAGATGTGGTTGTCATTTAAACTCTGGTAACCTTTGTGGTGGTCAGGAGTTGGTACCTGAATCGGATTTCCGTTCAAAGGAAGACTTTCTTGTATCTCAATCTTTCTTTGTTTCTTTTGTTGGATGTTCGAGCATTCTCCATCTTTTATCAGTGACTTCATTCTGTCTCTGTTCCAATACAGGAAAATGAGACATAAAACAGCAAGAGTCAGCGCAAACACTACACTCACCGTTACAAACTCAGTCCAGTAATTCTTCCCATTGGTGTGCTGAGCATATCGGCTTTCACTACTGAGTGGGTTTATAACTATCCCTTTCTCTGGATTTCCGTAGCTTTCTACAGGGATGGATTTTCTTGATGCTGTTGTGGCTTCCAAAGACCAGTCCGCTCTCACACAATAGTTTGCAACCAGCAGCTGAAAGCCTTCCTCTAAGGCCCAGCATTCATATACTCCAAGTGTCTCTGCTGTAGTGATAATCTCGCCGTCAGTAAGAATCGTGTACATAGAATCTGCTACTGCTCCATTATGCATCCACTTTCTTGTTGCAAAGTTTGATCTTACGTGACAGGGTAGCAATTTGAAACTATTAAGTGGCACAGTGACAGTCTCACATGGGACAGAACCTGTTTATGGAAAAGAGATTCATGAATAGAAGAATTGCATACTTCAATACAACATTTTTGAATTAGAAAATTATCTTAACCCTCTGCCGTAGGTCCAGTTTGAAGACAGAAAGTTTAGACGTACATAAAGGAGTCAAACATATACTGAGAACAAATGAAGAACATAGAATTAAATGTTAAGAGAAGTAGAAATGATTGAATTTCCAGTAAGCAGAGTTAAGTAAGTTAAGAGTTTACCAAGCACCTCTATATTAAATACACTTTTTCTATGTATAGAATAATAGTTTCTCATCTGATTTAAGTAGCTATGTGCACTTGGATTGGCAGAGAGTGTTTTCTTGCACTTTACCAGCTTTCAGAAAACGTGGTAATTGGCTTACAATATTGCAACTTAAGGCATTCACAAACTATCACAATGGTAACGCGTCCACTGGCAGGTATGGCAACTTCGAGGAAGCATCAGTATCAACAAGTACCCTATGCACACATGCAGGTTCTGTACTGAAATCGAGAGTATGCTGTGTATCAGAATGCATGTTCCAACACAATACCTGAAGTGAGGGGAAGGAGTTTTTCTTTTCATTTAAAATAATTGAATTATACTTTAGTTCTGGAGGATGACTTTCTCTAACCAGCTAACCAAGGGAACTAAAATGTGCAGCTAATTTCTAAAATCAGTTTCATTTGAAAGTTCCATAAGTACTCACGCTGTGGCCTGAAAGCCCTCGGTCTCACTGCTGAATCATTAGGGTTCCAACACTGCTGTTGAGCTTTGCCCGTCTCAATGTCTTGTTTCCATTGACTGCAATCAGAACATGGAAAAAAAAAGTTGAAGAAACAGACTTTGTGGTAAGCAAAAGAAGGAAAGTACAAGGTAGACTTCTTGTCTCGTCTTTAACATTAAAGGCCTGAAATTCTGTCTAGTATCAGGCTGCAAGACCATTTTGCCTTAAAATTTAAGATCACACAGAAGTGCAGAAAACTCTTCAAGTCACAGTTGGAAGTCAGTTCTTTTACAGAACTGTGGAAAATTGGCTTCAAAATTATGTGAAACACTCCTGATCTACAGCCATATAATAACCATTTTGAGAAATGTGATGACTTTCTAATGCATCCAATAGTCATCGAACATTTCTCAGAGTCTGAAAATAGTAACATCTTGAATTCCAACATGACTTATTTGTTGCAAGTTTCCAAATAGTTTCCTTCTAAAGCCACTTACGAATTGAACTGTAATCCTCGGATACTTCTGCACATCATCCCATCCCAGGCACAGTAAGGATCCCTGGCCAAGACACACTCGCCACAAATCTGGTAAATGCTGCAATTGGAAGTAGGCAGCTGAACGACGCCCAAGTAAGAAGATGCATACAACATGCCCTGTGTACATTGGAGACATAAAACAGAACTTGAACACAACTCAAAACACTGGGTTAAGCGAAACCTACTTTAAAAATTATCATTTGAAAAATATTGTAGAATTAATTGAGAATTATCCACTGTAATCTCTGTGATTGGCATTTAACTAAGGATTACAAATGGGATTTCCAATCATATAATGTGCAGTTTCTGTATAAAAGGGTAAGGCTGGTACAGTGACACTTTAGGATGCACCAAGCCAGTAAAACAAAATCGGTTTAGAGTTGCAAAGGGCAATTTCAGGGCACATACCAGGAAGCTTTCTTTACCCAGAGGGTAGTTAATGAGTGGAACAAGTTGTCAGGACGGACACTCATTTAAAAAGCAGCTTCATTCTGTGATGGGAGGTCAGTAGGTGGATATTCTGAAGGGATGAGATCAGATGGGCCAAAGCACTTCTTCAACCAAACCGATCTTGTGAACACTAGAGTATCTTTCAACCATTCTTTTCTCCTCATTAACTACATAGACACACATTCTGGACGGACAAAAATATTGACCTTTGTTAATGTCACTGAGATGGATCAAAAATGAGAAAAATAATGACTTATTTGGTATTATTTGCTACCAATTCTTTGACGAAAATCCAGTAATTATTGCTATGTGGGATTAGATTCTAATGGCAACAAACAGAGTCTCCTGGCGGGAATAACTCTTCATGAACTTTGTACCTGTTTTGAATCCAGTATCAGGTTCTGTACGGGTTGTGGTGCAGCAAACAAAGCAATTTCCTCAATGATGTGCATTTTATTGTTCACATTTACTGCTTTGTGCAATACCCCGGTTTCTGTCAGAAAAAAAATACAATATGTAAGAAATAATACTTTGAATTGCAAAAGGCAAGAAACATCAAGCATTTCATCTTAAATACAAGTAAAATATAGTCTTATTCAGATAAGTTGTTTTATTCCTTTATGGACCTACTGCCATCCACTCTGTAACACTATTATAGATGGTATTTTCATATTCAGAGTGAAATTTAATATACATTTATTGCTTTATGTGGCAAACCAACATTGACATTTTATCAAATTATCTCCTTAAACCTTTTATCATCAATAAGGATTGTAAAAGGTATTAAGAATAGCCTCTATATTTTTCTGAACAAACACATTATCCTCGACAGGGAGAATTTAGTTTCCTTTTGGTTATTTGAAATTCTACCCCAAATAGTTATTATTAATATATTTATTTTAGGAATGTACATTTCGCCAAATTCTTTACTGAATTTCACATAAAGTTACATAGTGCAATTGGAGTGTCTTTCTACAAAACATTAGCCCATTCAGTTTTGTTTTTATTTTGATTCTAGTGACATTTTTAAGCCCATTAGCCCATTCAGTTTTGTTTTTATTTTGATTCTGGTGACATTTTTATTTCTAATATGTTTACAAAATAGCAGAAAGGTCCATAATCCCTGGCAGTAGATCATTATCAGACAAGAACAGCATTAGTGTCAAATTGAAATATTAGTGCAAGTATTGTGGATGGGAACACAGAATATCATTGGGGAGTAAGGCTCTGCTTTTTGGGCTAAATTTCAGCAAACATGACCTATGCTCAAGCAAGTATTAAACCTTTCAGAATGAGGCCAAAGGGAGAACTAAGAAAATAGCTAATTATCTCCTTGTCTGAAATCTGTAGGATGATCCCAGTCAATTAATGATCACAGGTATTGTAGATCTACAGACAATGATGTTCTGCTAAATGCAAAAGATGTGTGCAATACATCCGAAATCTGATCTTGCATATGTATTGTATTAAAAGCACTGAAGAAAATATGATTGTCATTTGAATAAAACCCAAAACAATTATTGTAGCTTTGGTCTGCTGGTTGGCAATTATAATCTCTGTTATTAACACGGGAGAGAAAATGGTAAATTGCTCCACAGATATACTCATATTTCAATGCATTCAATTTCTATGCACGTGGCTTATTCTTCATTAAAATTGTAGGAGTTTTGTATGAATTAGCATGAAATACTTATTTCCTGGCAGGACCCATAAAGTGACTGATGGAGCCTGAAGTGTTTTAATTAGATAGCTGTGGAACGTACCTGTGGCCAGAAACATGACGTTGTAGTGACTGTGAATGGCTTCAACTTTGTCCACAACAATCTGTGTGTATTTAATATGTTTTTTGATCAACAAGGGCTGACTCCTTATTTCATCCATCAGAAAGTGGTCTTTGGCGAAATTCAGCACTTTATCCGGCATTTGGAATGAAGAGGTTATGTTCATGGCTCTTGCAGCATTTGTAATGCACTGTTGGACATGATGGAAGAAAAGTTTTCTGCATTATTAAAATGTTTGATCCAAGTCTGAGTCATTTTTCATAACTTTAAAAATGCTCAACCTTCAAAGGCTGATAGCTTCATCGCCCACCACCAAAACATGCCAACCTTATTTCATGAAAGTGTGACAAATCTGTTCTACCATGTTTTCATCATCACCTCCATTTTACAAGGCAGAATACAGCACAGTACAATGGGAACGTTTGCAAATATCTGAAACATTACAGTTTTAATATGTAAAAGCCATTCATTTTAGGATATTCGCATTAAAATGTGTTGCTCAATGGTCAATATGATCAAGGTTAATCTTTAATGTCAGTGATACTTACAGTGCCTGGTCTTGGCTCTGGGACAATGTGATTGTAGGGATACCACTGCTGTGTCTCGCGATTCACTTCCATGTACCTTCCACTGAAGGCTCTTGTGACATCTGCCATAGAGAATGAACAGACAGCAGATGTGGCTGCACCACCTTTGTACCTGTAAACAAAATCAACGCAATGGACACAATCAAGACACAATACCCTTTTGTTCAACTGTAGAATTTCAAAATAGCCTACAATGCAATGAACTCCCTCCCATAGTCCCTCCGACTCGCTCCCTGACCTTCCCTCTTTCAAGGTAAACATACCTCTTTGACAGCTCTTTCGGTCACCTTTCCTCTTTCCCCCTCGATTCCCCCCCAAAGCTTAGCTGCCTCTACAGCATTCTAAATAACCTTTGGGTCATCTTCCCATCGAGAAAGAATCTATGTATATGTCAATTTTATTGTACCCTCGTCTCACATTCAAGACAATGTGGGTCATCAACCTTTGCAGTCCAAGGTAGAATTGATACACTGATACTGTTTTTATTTAACATTGTGTCTAGTCCTACCCCAGGGAGATCAGCATTAAAAACATAGGCAGTGAAAATTGTGATGCCTGCAATCCATTGTCGCCAGACACAATGAACACGTTACACATTACAATCTTCACCCCATATGGAAACAAATGCTAGTTTGGCAAACTCTTTCCCCCTCCCCCTTAATAAATAGGACATATTTAAATCTGATGTTTCCTAACAAGAGCCTATCTGTCTAACAGCTAAATATTTCAGCATATGATATTGTTATAAATGGGTGACAAGCATCCAGCTGTGACCTTGTGAAATAGAAAACAGTAAACTCCCACTGTTCATCTGAGCCTCCATTGCTAATGTTGTGAGTTTGATGAATCTCCAATGGAGCCAATTCTCCAAGTCATTTTAATCAGCCATACTTTTTGGAAGCCTGTCCTTTCTACAAAGTCGGGAAAACAAATTTAAGGATTATCCACAGTTCTCTCTGAAAACAACAATGGTCTTGCAGAGTTCAATCATTTTCAAGTCACTAGGTTTCAATGGAAGAATGGAAAAATAGCCTGGTTTACTGTATTAAAAACAATTATAATTTATTTATAACATACCACATTTTGTTACTAAATATTTAAATAAAAAGAACTGTGTATAAACTCTGTGGATGTGATCACAAGGAGCCAACGGTAACTGCTTTTTAATGAAAAACAGGCAAGCAGAGCTTTATTGGATCAGAAGATAATTTACAGGCATTTTATTCATGCTGTTGCAATTTCAGTGCTGATGCAATGTGCACTTTACACGTAACATTCCTATTGAATAGTAATCTTTGCATTCGATGTAGTGCCTTATCACATTGTTGTGAAGTCTCAAAGTGCTTCACAGAATATTCCGTAAAGTGAATTAACTGAATATTTTGTGGGCGAATATTATGTATATGTTATCTGCTGCTACTGAGTGTAGGTTGATGCTGCTGAATGAGCACTCGGTTTTACAGAAGGCTGCACTGATATAACCCTAAGCAACAAGAGATCCAAAGCTAAAGATCTGGTTCTTGAAAAGCAATGCATAATCCTGCCCCATCGGTTCTTGTTTATCCACCTCATCTTTTTCAATTTGTTGCAGAGTGCAGCACACTCATGTGGTGTTCCTTTACAGAACCTCTCCAATATCCCAGCAAGAACTAGGAGCTAGCACGGACATAATAAGTTAAATGTCTGCCTTCTGTGCATAAACATTCAATGATTCTATGCTAACATAATCCCCAAAGCTTCTATCAGTGTTTTACATGTTCCTGATGCACAAAGGAACCAATATGGCCCCAAATGATTATGATTAAACATTAAATTAGATTAGTGCAGCAGTTAGCGGTAATAGTGCTACAGCTGGAAAAGAGAGACAATTTGTTGCATGTCACATTAATACACGAGTCATTCTGGAAACATCTCAGGAAGTGTTTACTCTTCAAATCATTTTAAATATTTCAGAAATCTCTGGCCTAAATAATAACCTCAGGCTAAGTATTAATTATTAACAGCTGTTTAATGCAATACTAAAAAAAGAACATCCAAAATAACAAAATCTCCAAAGTTAACTGCTTCATGTAGAGTCAAATAAACTGTTATGTAGCCCCTCACTACAACTATCTCTAATATCTCTGACTCCTCCTATGGTTGTACTTGTTATTCTGGCTTCTTTATTGTTAGAAAAAAAAGACAGTAAATCTCACACAAGTCATATCGGTTGGGACCATATATTTAATATGACTTATGCAAAGTATGAGTTGTGTCAAACTTGCATAGAATGGGTGACAAACACCCTTGAATGGGACTTGGGCAGATGTACGACTTAGGCGATTATACGATTTATATAGATCAGACTTCTGTGAGTTTTACTATATCACTTAATCACAAACAAAACGTTTTTAAAAAAGTCCCTAGGTTTCAGATAAAAGAAAAAAATTATATTTACATACCATTGTGAACTAAATACTCCATAAAAGGTTGTATTTTTCCAATGTTCTTTCCCAGGAGTAAGGACGAACATGTCCTGTATGATGTTAAATGGGAACCCATCGTCGGGAAGTGAACAGGAGAGCTGGGATTTCAGGAAAGTGGTCCACCTTTTCTGTAGCACACGCTCCCCACCTAAATCACCCTGTGGGTAAAAGTGGTACACTTAAGCCACAAGAATGAAATGCAGATTAATATAAAATAACCATAAGAAAATATCAAGCCAAAATCCTTGTGGGTTACCACAATCAAAAGGTCATCTACAATATGAAACCTTGGCTTCAACCCTCCTTCCTTTTTGTGGCAACTATAAATAGGAACATAGAATGGACAACAGACTTGATCAATCTGGTCAACCAGAATGCTCTTTCTACACAAACAATAATAGATAAGTATAATAGGATGCAAGAGAGGCTATTAAAGTGAATATATAAGTGGGCTACAGACATAAACCAGCCACATTTCTAGAGATTTTAGTGATCAAGGGATTATATTGAGAAGGCGGGAAGATCAATCAAAAAGGGACTGTCTTGTTGAGTCTCATGGCTTTTTTTTTTGTTCCTAACAAAGCTTAAGCAATGTACAACAAGTTTTCCCCAGCCACATACACAAAGCTTGTTTTTCTTCACCTTGCTGTAATGCATGTTCAGAACTGCCTGGGAATGCTGGGAATATGAACAGTGGAGCAGCAACATAGCTGGATGACAAACAACCCAATGTGCTACCTTCCTACCACTATATTTTGTGTTCTTTGAAACTCTTCCCCCCTATAGTTTCTTGTCTATTTAGGTTTAAAGGCAAAACAATGAGAATAAAGGTTCTTGCTGCATGCTTCCTGACAATTGGCAAAGAAATCAAGGCAGCACTGGCAAGGGCGTTAGTAATTTGAAGATGACTAATTCCCTATGATTATCACATCAAACCAAAATAATAATGTCTCATTTTTAAAAGTGAACTTATAGCAGGCCTATTATCTTGTTCAACGGTGTCACTTAACCTGACAGTGGCTATCAACACATATGGCATTGGAATGACAGGAGCTGAACAGCTGATCTCTCCAATGAGGGCCTTGTAAATGCATCTTTCTCTTATTCTATGGGTTTCACATTGAGTGATATAATCAAGGGAAAGTATGCACTACAAGTCATTTTGTTGATGACAGAAATATAAATTATCAAAGGCTACACTGATCACAAGTAAAAGCTGACAGAAGATTGATTTAACCAAACCTTAACCTCTCGATGTGGAATTTCACAGAAATGCTACACATTTGGCCTCATATTTATTAATTTCAGGGATTTTAAATGGTTATGTTAGATTGTATCTTAATAAACAGCTACATAAGGATTGCCAAACACAACATGGATCACTTCTTTGATGAATACCAATTCTTTTTGCTACAACAAAAAGAAAAGCCCATTTATAACGACCCACTGGGATTGACTACAATACACGCAATCACTGCAGGCTTCAGTTCTCAATACAGGATCAATATTGCTTTCTAATCCACTAATTAAATTCCTTAAATCAGGACTGGCTTACCTGACTAATGTATACAGGATCAGTTTGTACCAATTATATATATAGGGCTGAAATAGTACAATAACATACCGGTAACCTGGCTCAACTAGCATGCTCTGGTAATTTATGTTCAGAGGAAAGAAATTGATTAAAAGACAAACAGCCAGCATTTTGTATTTTTAACAGTTCTGTTTTGCTTTCATCTTGGGATTCTATTCCGATCTATTTTAATAATAATCCTTGCATTTGACTGTCGACCAGCCCATCCTCATACACCGCCTCTCCTCCTTACTCAATCTTCGCGGACCTGCCCTTGCCTGGTTCAATTCCTATTTCTCATCATCTCCACTTTATTGTCTCTAACGGTTTCTCCTCCAGCCCCCGTACTGACACGTCTGGTGTCCCCCAGGACTCTGTCCTTGGCCCTCTTCTTTAATATCTACACGCTCCCTTTTGGTGACATCATCCTCACACATGGGGTCAACTTCCATATGTATGCGGATGACACCCAACTCTGCCTCCACCCTCAACTCCAGGACCACTGCTGTCCTGACAGACTGCCTGTCAGACATCAAGTCCTGGATGAGGGCAAACTTCCTACAGTTGAATGTGAACAAGACTGAAGTCCTCCTGATTGGCTCACGCCAGCGCCTCTGCACCTCAGGCTCTAGTAGTATCAACCTCCATGGTTGTACACTACAACTCAACAAGCCAGTCAGGATCCTTGGTGTCTTGTACGACCTTCAACTGTCTTTTCTTCTCCACATCCAAGCCATGGCCCGCTCTGCCTTCCCTCACCTCCGTAACATCGCCCGACTCCGCCACTACCTCACCCCTCAGGCCGCTGAAACTCTTGTTCATGCCTTCATCACCTCCAAGCACCTCCCTGCTTGTTGGCCTTCCCAACTCCTCCCTCCACAGGCTGCAGATAATCCAGAACTATCTCTGTAACCCCCTACCAACCCGCCCGCTCCCTCCGCTCAGCCGGCTCCGGCCTGCTCCACATCCACCGATCCACCCGCCCCATCATTGGCGGGAGAGCCTTCGACCACTCTGCTCCCAACCTCTGGAACTCCATCCCCCAATCACTCCGCCTCGCCCCTCCTTAGCCTCCTTCAAGTCCTGCTTCAAAACCCTCCTCTTCAACCATGCCATTGGTCACCCCCCGTCCCCTCCCCTCCCTTCTCCCCCCTGACCCCAGCTCAGGTCTGAAATGCTGTACACTGCCCAGCGTCTTGGGACGTCCTCCTGACTTGAAAGGTGCTATACAAATATAATCTTGTTGTTGCTATCCTCAAAGTGCTTCACAGAATATACTGTTAAGTAAATTGACTGTATATTTTGTGGGTGAACTGCGGCAGTCAATTACTCACAGCAGTGTCCCACAAACAGTCGTGGATTGAGTGACAAAATTATTCTTTTTTTGCTTTCATCTTTCACCCCACTTGGGATTCCCATTTTATTTTGGTAAAAGGAAAACGTTGGGAAAGATGAAAGTTCTATTTCAGCTTGTCCACGACTTTGCCTGAATAACGGTGAAGAAACCAATTCAAGGCCACTCAGTAATTTGAACATGTCGAATTCCCCATGATTATCACATCAAACCACAATAAAAGGTGAGCTTGATAACGGGCCTATTACCTCATTCAGCACTGTCACTTAAACTGACAGTGCCCATCATGACAAATGGCAGACCTTCCATTGCAATGACAGGCAATGTGTAGTTGCCTTTGTAACTTCTTTTGGCTACTTCATGGGGGGCCATAATTGAAGGGGCAGTAAAAATCTACTGTCAATCAGAAATCACAATTTGAGTTAGATGAAAGTAAACGGACAAACCATATTTAACACAAGGGTACCATGGAGATTTTGCACGTCATAGTCTTTTAAAATCTTAAATCCAATAAACTTTAGGAATGAACCGAATGTTTGTGATCAACTAATGAGTAGCGAGGGCACAATCTTAGTGTTGGTTGTTGGAAGTAATTGGTCATTCGTGGCAAAGAATGACCAGAAATGTAGTAATGTGGCCATTTGGTTGTACCAAATACGAAATACAGTCATTACACTTTACAATATATTGTATGAGCGCTTTGAGATGTCTCAACGACATGATAAGGTGCTATATCAAATGCAAGGATTATTATTATTTCTTCTAACTCTTCCCAAGTTGTCCATGGATTGCAAAGTTTAGAACGTGTTGGAACAGCCCCATAATTATCGCACCTTTGAACCAAAACAACCAGGAGTTTTGATCTCTGATGAAACTCCATTCTCCATTCCAACATGATTTTTTTCTCTTTTGGTTTATTTATTTCTATTGATGAAGATGGCATTGCAATGATGGATGTCTAAAGTAATGGCACCGTAAATACGAGCGCTTTTAGGGGGTCGAGAATTACCACTTCTCTAATTTGAAGACCTGCTCAGGTCAAATGGCATTCACAGTGTTAAATAGCAGCTCAGTCTCATTCTGGAGGTGACCCCTGAGCAATGTTCTCCTTTAAAACTACTTTAATGAAAGGCATAATCCCCAAGAATATAATACTAGAAAAGGCTGTCGAATAAACTCTTCGAAGTCTGGATTATTTGGAAAATTATATAAGTTTTACTTGTTAATAGTGTTAGCCTGAAACATATTTGAATAAATATTATTGTAAGCCTTTTGGAACAATTGAATTATTGGTAATACATACATTAATTCCATTCAGCTTGTCACGGGATGTTAAAGCAGAAAACTTCAAAAATGCATTTAGTGAATTTAAAACTTGGAGCCATTAAGACACCTGAGAACAGTGAAATAGAGTGGAGGGTGGTGCCTTAGTTTATAACAACATGGTCTGTGATCTGCTTTGGGTTAGGAAGGCTGTTCAGTGTTGAAAAGCAATGTCTGAGAAGGTCTGTAGAGGCATACAAGATTCTAAATAAGATTGGAAAAGTCAACCCAGAACAGTACTCTCAGATAACACCAAAGCAGCAGAACGAAACGGCACAGGTTCAGATTTGTAAAGGGGAATTCCTGGACAGACACAAGTAAGTATGTCTTTACACAGAGAGTAATAATGACTGGTTACTTGAAGAGTGGTTAACATCAGGCCATTGGACTCATCTAAAAAACTGATATAATTGATGGGTGGTATTCTGGAAGGATGAGATCAAATGAGCAGAAGAGCATTCTTCATCTGATTCTCTCTCGTGATCATGCGATCAATTATGGGAAAGCATTCAACATGATTCTTGTTACAGACTGAAACCTGCCCCTAGATTATACAATGTACAGTAATGATTCTTCTTTTCTGGTTTAGAATAAATCATTTTCTGAACCTTTTACATGAGAAAATTCCTACTGTTTTCCTGCGTCAGCTACATGAACAACCTGGCTTTCTAAATTGCCAGCTTTGAAAGTTGAAGTAATTGAGTTTCTTTTATATCAGAAAGCTTTTGATGTTCGCAAAATAAAACTGAAAAAAAAACAAACACAGCTAAGAGCACTACTGATACAAACACCCAAGCCCTTTGAACATAACATTGGACTTGTAAAGCACCTGAAGTCTACACAGGTAACTCCCTCCAGACAACAACCCTTACATAATTTCCAATTGTTTTAAACTGAAATGAATCACAGTGAGATCAAAATACATTTTCAATAACCAGTGAAGGTGAGTCAATAAAGGATCAAGCCAGCCAATAGATCTTAAAAGAATGAATCAGCAGCCTCTCCCAATTCCCTTCATGATTCACACTATCCATTACTTCAGCTGAAGCTACCAAAGTGGTAGAAGTTATAAAGTTCTGGTGTCAAATCCAGTTTACCAAAGTAGGATGAAAGTAGGGTGCAGTAAATCAACAAGAGTTCACAAGACCACAAGCACAAAAAGGGATTTAGATAAAGAAAGCGAATAAATAAATATAGATGCAACCTATCCGGGTACAACCCGGTGCTATGCTGCAAACATTTCCAGTGAGTGCTATCTAATAGATCACACATTAAAGGGTGATGACAACTAAACATCACCACCACTTATAGAGCCACAGGCGTTTCTAAGACCTGGTGCAGGGCGTTTGAAGACTTTGCTTAATTACCCCACTTTGTTCCAGCAGACATACTCAACATCATTATCTGAAAAACGCATTCACTGCCTCAGGTAACATGTCTTCACTCTTTATCAGTAGTTTCCCACAACCATAATTCTATATATGGCGGTGCTACTTTCCAAAGATTAGAATTCACTTCTGTCACAGCACAAATCACATGGTTATCAATAACTATCAGGAAAGCAGAAGTCTTGATTTTATTCTCACTTGGCTAGATTTTTTGTGTGGGTCTCCTAATATGAGTCATTCAATAAGATAACCTACCTACACTAGCTTCTTCCATCAACCTCAGTTCTTAAATGGAAGAGGAGTGTTGGAACTATTGTACAGTATCTATTATGCTAACGCCGTACACTTTAGCAGACTGACAATCCAGCTATAATTCAAGTCCACTATAAACAGACAAATTGTACCTGGTGATAATTAGATAACTTAAGTCTAATGCTTTCCTGTTGCCTATTTCTTGATGCAAACTTGTCCAGCTGCCTTGACCAATGGCTAGGACATAAATTCTGTGTTAAAACGTGAATTTACCTTGCAGATTCGTGCTATCCGCGATACAATTGTATTCTCAAAAAAGTCAAATTCTTTGCCAGTTTCACTGAAGAAGAAATATATTTTGCCATCATCTCCAATAGGATTGTTCTCTGGTAAATTTTCTGGTATATATGCTGAACCAACGAAAGATGGATCTGCCAAAAAAATTAAGAAGGTATGAACAGTTTGGTAAAGTTCAGCTCCCCTGAAATTAAAATTCTAGACAAATTCTTGCATGCAATATGTAGATTAAGAATTACATACTGTTAAAAATTAACTAGCTTCATTTGAGTGGAATTAATATTTTTAATGTCCCCACGATTGACTGTGTTCTTCCAACAAGTGTGGCATAGCAATTGCACCTTCATATCGAGCACTAGGACAATGACAATGATTTGTGGCTGTAGCTAATGAGGGTCTTTATTCACCCTTGGGAATAACTTTCAATATAAAGTACTCCTCCAACCGTATGATTCGTAAACATTCTGCAACAATCTTTTCCTTTGTAGAGTATATCCCCATTTGTGATTGCTGTTTCCACTACCCCATGGAAAACCTTCTCACCCCATTTACAGTCTGCTAGTGTGGATTGTAAACATGCGAGGGACCATTTCTGTAATCAAATGTTGAATTGTGCATTTAAACCTGGATTGGATATTGATCTGAAGTTAGAAAATTAGTAAAAGAAAAACTGATATTGGCTAAAAGTTTACACTAAGAGAATAATTGATGTAGGTTCTGCTGGTCAATGGTGATACATTAGTGATCTTTGCTGAAATGGATACTGTAAAACATCTACAATGAAGTTTGTGATGCCATCAAACATTAAGTATCTTATTTATTGTATGTGTAAACACACAAAAACATACAAACTATAAACAATGGCAACTGTAGCAATAAAACAGGAAATAAAGCCATGGCACTAAAAATGATTAATACTGGTGTCCGTGGTCATGTCTGTGCAGTAAAACCCACTGATAAAAGACCAGCTGTAAATAATGGTGAATTTGGGTCATTGAACTAGTGCTATTAAGATCCTATAAGTATGTGTGTCCAGACTAAATCCAGTACCTTTGTTAGGACAGCAAAAAATGCTTGACGGCATCGCCCACAACATTGTAAATATTTTATATTTACCTTGATGGTAAATGCAATATTTTGTAATACCATTCGTGACTAAGAGTGATTTGTGGAGCGGTTAGACATGTTTACAGTGTAACAATCGCTTAAGAAAAACATGCCAAACTGTACACTGCATGGAGGAAGAATAGCCAGTCCATTCTCTACAAACACGTTTTTACATTAGCTTGAGGAGTCTGATATCAAGGCTGCTGAACAAAGTGATACTGCTATACTTATATAAATGGCTGAGAATCTTCTTTTTATTTTTATGTCAGGGGGCTTTCAAAGTTATTTCTAAATACATTTATTCACATTCACGTATGAGGTTTGACGCAAGTGTTGTTCAACATATGAGCCTGATCCTGTTGTCACCCAATGTCGTGCACAAACAAATGCACAAAGGCTTTCCATATCACTGTATGAACTTCATGGCCATGGATATTTATGAACTACCAGAGGGGCCCTATATGAATGTCACATGTGGAAGCACGTTGGCATAATTGCACCTAAACTTATTCCCACCCGATGTATCAATTTACTAAACCAGTACACTGCTCTGCACACCCACACATGAATCTCACTTCCTCTTTCTCTGTGTTTATGTCCAATCTAATCCACACCTGATTGGACTTATTCAAGCTGTACCACGCAGAGGACGCTAGCAGTCAAACACAAGGATGTAATCTCATGAAAGCGTTTCCAATGAAATAATATCCCATCAGTCTTGCTTGACTGATCGCTCCATCAGTAATTTCAAAAAAAACTTTATCACTACAAATCTTTTATATTTTGTTGCCAGTTACTCACCTTGGAGCCAGTTCAGAGAATTCTCGGTTTTCAATGGTGGTTTATTACCACTTCTTGAAATAATTGGCTCGTTGCCTTGAAAATTGCTGACAGTTCCTGCATACAGCTCTCCATCTGATGGCAATGAAGACAAGCAAATCTTAGTTCTGTCTATTTGTATGTTATCAGCACAGGATAAATAAACTTTACATAGTTGCAAAATATGCAAATCAATTCCATTTCTAATCCTCCATATACAAAGTAAACCAAAACTGTGCTAGCATTGAGAAACAGTAACGTGTTTAATGTGAATCCAATCCAAAATGAATTCATATATAGATTCACAAATATCCTCTGAAGTGGAGGATAAAGGCAATCTCTCATAAATGTATGTAGAATATACAGCACAGAAACAGGTCATTCATCCTAACTAGTCCATGCTGGTGTTTATACTTCAATCCTTTCTCTCCACTTGCTCCCATACCTTTCTATTCCCTTCATCCCTCATTGGTATATCAAGGTGGTATTGGTACTTGTAAAGGGGGTAAAGCATCAACCAAAGTATTTTTGTCATGGTACTTATACTTTTATCCAACAAACAAATACTTCACATTGTCGTAAACATATTTTAAATAATGTGGCACCTGTCTATGTAAATGTCAGAGAAAAAGGGAAATGTTTTGGCTCCCATCGATTCTGTGGAAAAACCTCTGACTGAACCGCAAAACTGGGAAGGTCAAAAATTCAATCCTTACTTAATGCTGAGGTAGACAATCTTAGATGGTTAGGGTGTGGTGCCACAACATTGGCCCTCACTGTCCTCAGGGTTTAGAGCGCAAACACTCCTTTTCCTCCCACCCTCAAATTGGCCAGTAAGTATGACTACTCCTGGAGGTTCATGTGACCACTTTCGCTCCTCTACCCTTCCCCAATTGAAGAGCCTGTTACAGCTCACACACAAAGAATGGTCATTCAGATGAGATACAAGGATCAGGCTGCTCCTGCAATAGTACCCCTTCAGTACTGCCTTCAGTAATGCAAATTGATAAAGGGTAAAAAGCAGGAAGCAAAACAAATATAGTACAAAATGACTGCAAAATAATGTGAAGAGAACATTGAATGAAAACCAGAGGACAAATGGCCGAACATTCTGGGACAGGACAATCCTGACAGTTAAGAATGGCCTCTCTTTATTACTGGGGAATATGTGCTTCTTTAATCTGATCATCTGTAACTCGTGCAATGTCTGAAAACAATATTCAATAGCAAGGACTTAAATTACGCACCAACAATAACTGCAGTTGACTTATAGGTCGGGTCAAAGGGGCATCGACCTTTTCCATCTTCAGTTAAAATATTACCATTAGCGTCTTTGACTAGAGAGAAGTTTGCAACATGCTGCGTGAAAGAGAGGAACAGATTACATTTAAAGTCACATGACTAGGTTTAATGATAATATTGTTTCTGTAAAATCTATAAAGACATTGATATGAGCACTTACGATATAGGAACAATTAGGGCTGAAAGCATTTGTTCCACAAACAAAAATGTGAGTGCTGTTTAGTTGAAGGAGGATCTTGATGTAATTGAAGCAGTCACTCTGCAGGCAGGCAAATATCAAACCAATTATTAGAAGTTACCAGAGTTGGATTTAAGTAACCTTCAAGTTTGTTTTCAAAGTGAGGGCCTTTACCTGCAAATTCTTTCCCTTAAAATTGCATTCCCTCCTCTTCTGCTCTGGAGATTCCCAAATCACCTGTTAAATATAGACAGAAATATTACAGTATGAAGTCTGTGGATCATTGAAGTTGCTGACATTAATCTTTGAAATAAGAATTTGACAGTTTTGATTGTCATGCGTTATGGGAAAGATTCAGTAAGTATTCGATAAACACATATGCCCAATCTTATTGCTTATACCTTCCCCCAAAACAAACCTGGAGCAGCTTTAGAGCTGGAAAATACACATAGCTCAGCCTCTCCAATGGAACATCATCTTACAACTCGGGTAACAAAATACCATTTGGGGAGTATGAGTCGAGGAAAGGTGTCCTGTGAATTTCATACATTTCAAAATGTATGAACAACAAATCTATCTGATGATAAGTTTTCTGAGATCTCTGCTGGGCCAGTGATTGGGAAAAAAAACATAAAATTAACCTTGACATCCTCTGGTCTCCTGTTGGCTAAGCAATTAAGCATCACTGGAACCAGAAGTGGCTGTTATATCAGTCACCTTCCTAGATGGAGGGACGGTGAGTAGCAGTCAACATGTATCAGAGGGTGTCAGAGGAAATTGAGCCTCGGAGGAAATTGGGTGAAGGAGTGTGACAGAATACTGTCCCTGCTATACTGCAGCCTTTGTCTCGAGTCCACCACAGATCCTGACAGCTGATCAGTGTCTCTTAAGTGACATGAGTTTTAACAGGCTCATTCCAGTCCCCAAAGGATTTGATAGCATTAATTGGCACTTCAAAAAGTAAATTGAAAAGAGAAGAGTTACAAGAAGAGGAAAGTGATAAAATATTATGGGAATTGCCCTAGCTTTGTGCCACTGCACTGTCAAATTAAGATCGGCATATACCTCATTTTTGAATCTGTTGGGAGCAATATCTGAAACATTCAAGGCGAAAATGGCATCTCTTGCACCGACGTACAACGTTTCTCCATCAGAGCCTCTCAGCAGTGTGGTGTAATTCACGACCCCGTCCCTGTAGAAATACTTGACAGGTCTGTCTGCACTGTCTGAAAGAAGAAACCGACAGGTCAGGATAGGAGAAATGACAAGCTGTCCTTAGAAAGAGACGTACACATTGACTCTTTTTTTGTTCTTCGGCATGACAGAACCTTTCAGTTTTATTTGGTGAAATGATTTCCGATTCATATGCTACATATTCAAATGCAAGCAATACTTTTATGTTCAAGTTTCTTTTTTTAAAAAAATCCCATTACGTTTGGGAGAAAAATACTCCCTTAGCAAATACCTATTTTCCATAAATTTGTTCTTTTTTTAGATACTTAACGGGCAAATTGAATTAGAAAGTACGAAACTTGAATCCCCAACACTTCGGGGCAAAACAAAGAACAATAAAGAGCAAACTGATTAGTTTTCAATTCCTTTTCACTGCACAGATAAAATTTTGAATGTGTTCACTTTTCCACACATGAGCCTGACAGATTCAATCATGCAGCTTTCAGAACCTATCAGAAATATGAATATGATATTTCAGTGATGTACCATTGCAATACACATTTGCTGGGTATTATTTGGCAGGGTATTATTTGTCGCTTCTAAGCCAACTCAACCCTAGATAAGCCAAATACAGCCTGCTGAAAGGTTAGAGTAGGAGCCAGATGAACCTGCTGTGGGTAAAAGCTTGCAATCACAATTCTGTTTTCTTTTGTTCATTTGCAGTGGCTGGGAATGACAACGTGATGATGTCCACATATCATGGGTCTCCTCGGTGGTGACCTTGTTGACTACAAACTTGACAGTTAACAATGCTCCTTTAATGCATAATATCACAAGGTACACAATGACTCATTTTTCCTCAAACATTAGCCTGCGTGCAGGATTGAAAACCACCATTCATTAACAATCAACTTAGCAATATGATATTCTGTGAATATCCTGTTGAGAAGTAACAAGAAGCAAACAAGCAGGCTTGCCTTTTACATCCCAAAACATTAGAGCAACAGATGCACACTAGGGTGAAGTTATTAAATAAATACTAATTTATCAATTCTGTAATTATTCATGAAACAATAATAACTTGCAATTTATATGGCAATATCTAGGAGTGCTTAGCAGTAGCGAAGTTAGACACCAAGCTGGAAGGAAGTGTATGGGGGGAAAAGATGACCAAAGGCACGGTCGAAGAGGTAGATTTTAAGGTGGTTTAAACTGTACTTCATTCTAAGCACATTATTGTGATGTGAACAATTTTATGTACCAACATGGTTAATTCCAAGAAATGAACCATCAGGAGATAAAATTCCCTTTTTAGAAACAGCCAAGTCACAAATGACATCCAAGAGCTTGCATATTTATGAAACATTTAATTTCCTAAACTAAAAGCTGGACCTTTTTTTAGAGCCAGAGATTATTACATTGTGACTGCCTGATTGTTATATTCACATCAGGGATGATTTTCTGATTGTCTGTACATACAGCAACCAGTTTAAGATAGTCACCAAAAAATACAAAGAAAGATAATAGTTGATAAATATAACCTGATAGCTATAAAATTATATTCTAGGACTTCACTCGAACAAAGTGCACATATATATATTAAAAAAATTATTAAATAATTTTGAAACTGCACTTGTTTATAAAACAAAAACGTTATAATAATCATCCTTGCATTTGATCTAGCGCTTTTCACGCTAAATGGAAAGGCATTTTGATAGGGGTCCGCAGGGAAATACTCTGGGATATTTCATGTTGTAACCAATAAGAAAATGTTCTCCTCATCTCCATGTGGCCTTAAGGCCACAACTGTTCGGGTACATGATGTGGTGCACAGACTACAGCTGCACTCCACTTCCTCTCTATCTGGGAAAGCCTTCAATTACTGTGGTTGCCCTCAAGCAAAACCAGGCTCTATAATTTATTTAACTCTTTCCATTCCTAACTCTTCACCAGGATGCTAATTGTAAGTTGCAAGTAGCTGACTGGAATCTTTTCATACTCATTAAAATACATATGTTTTTCTTTTTCTCCACATTGCTTCTCTCTCACCCACCCCCACCTTCCGATGGATCAGACTTGCTAGGGTACTGCTCCAAGGGTGCCAGTCACACTCCACTATCTTCACTCAAATTACCATTCTTCATGTGTGAACCTAGACAGCGAGTAACGAGTTGCTTGATCATGGGAGGAACAACAACAACAACAAGATTCCATTGATTGAGCGCCTTTCACGTCGGGAGGACGTCCCAAGGTGCTGTACAGTTGGGTCAGGACCCGAGCAAAGGGGAAATGGTCAGGGTGAGGGAAGGGAGGGAGCGAGGAGGGGGTAGAGAGTCGAGAGGGGAGCTGAAGGCTCGGTCAAAGAGAAAGGTCTTGAGACCGGCCTTGAAGGAGGAAAGGGAGGAGGCAAGGCGAAGGCACTGGGGGATAGAGTTCCAGAGCCTAGGGGCTGAGAGGCTGAAGGCCCGGCCACCGATAGTAGGGCGGTTGGGGCGGGGGATGTGGAGCAGACCGGAGCCAGAGGAACGGAGGGTACGGGCGGGTAGGTAGGGGGATAGTAGGTCGGAGAGGTAGGAGGCAAGGCCGTGAATGGCCTTGTAGGTGAGGATCTTGAATTGGATCCTCTGGGGGATGGGGAGCCAGTGGAGGCGAGCGAGGGTGGGATAGATAACACACAAAAGCACTTTCCAACAGAGGTCACTGGATAGCGATACTGAGTGAGGTCTCCCTGAAGAGAAGCATCTGAGACCAATTGTAGCACAATTAGAGGTTCAAACCTGGCTCATTCTGACTGTAAGTCTATTTCACTTACCGCAGTGGCTTTACCAACTGGACTGTTGGAGGAACTCAAACCTATTATTCACATCATTGCAGGTTTTCATTTAGGAGCAACTTACTTTGCAATCAAGTGAACTTAAAAAGCTGCAAATTATTCCTCATACAAACTTTTTTTTTATTTCTGTTGCAAAATAAGCCCTTCAACCGTCAATTCGAAGGGAAAAATCCAAACGAGAAAACGAGCCGATGAAATCAATGGAAGATTTCTCTGATTTTGTTCTTTTGATTGAATTTTACCAACCAGATTAATCAGCCAAATCTCAGGCTGAGGGAGATTTCCTGCTCAGGAGGTGATCAAAGAGCTGTGCTGCTTTCACCTTTGACCATTCTACTCTTATTCTGAAACGTGTCCAGGTACGTTTAAAATTATGTCATTCATTTTATTTGAAGGAGCATCGCTTATGCAAAACAACGGTGTGTAGTTCATGAGTGAACATTACAGAAATTGTAAATTAACTGCTCTGCTGGATCTTTAACGTGTACTATCAGCCCCATAATCTGCCTTCAGGCCACTGCCAGACAGGATACAGGAATGCAAATGAAGGAGCAATCTTTTTTTTAATATACTGAGAATAAATTTTACTCAGCCTCGTTCTGCATGAGGGTCAATGGATTGTATTCTAGTCTTAATATTAATAATAATAATACATACAATTGTTATAGCACCTTTCACTTCTAGAGGGCTCTAAGAACAAATATTTGACTCGTTTTTTTATTAAATAAAATAGTGTTTGAGCGAGTTTTGTCTCAATCAAAGACTTTTTAAATTCAAGCTCCAAGGTCCAGGTTGCCTCTCAGTAACTTGACCAAGTGAGGACTGTACATGTGTGTGTCTCACCAGCAAAATTTTACTCTATTTGACTGTGAACATACACACATGCACACACACACATACAAGATATATAGAAATTTTAATCCCAGTTGAAATTTCTTGGCAAACTAATTTCATATTCATAATTTTTCAGCTGTACAGTCAAAACCTCAGGTTAATATCCAACATGAAAGGTTCAAACTGTATCCTGCATTTCTGTAATTGTCTGTTTTCAGCAAGCAAATGATGGGCAGGTTTGCTTATAAATATCAAAAATAGGCTTTCATTGTGTGGTGAGTGAGCTGAGCTCAGTGTGGGTGGCACTGAACATGTTTTACAGTGATCTTCTATGATCGTGAACTGGAAACATGAGGCAGAATTCAGAGACTCAGTGGTCGAACACTAACCAGCGATCCTGGCTGGAAAAATGGACTGGTATGGACACTGGAGAAAAGCAGCATTGTGCTCTAGCCTTCTTCCTGCTATAGTTGAAAAGTCCATGATCACTCACTGCCTGGCTTCACACGTGAGGGATGGCCACTTGGGCAAGATGCAGGAGAGCTGCTGGCATCTACGGATCCTTAATAATAATACTCCAGTATAAGTCAATACCTGGAGCAGCGGAGGAGTCAAAGAGAAGAGAAGTTGAGGTAGGGAGGAAACTAGGGCTCGAGGACATGAGAACTACAAATGACCCTCTTCACAGCACCAGTGTGGTTGTAATAATAATAATAATAATCCTTGCATTTGATATAGCGCCTTATCACGTCTTTGAGACAGAGCCGGGAACTGCAGTCAAGGCACTTTGGGGATACTATTAGGCTTATGAACAGCAACTGCAATTGGATGAAAGTCAGTCAGAAATTTAGGCTGTTTAACAGGAGTTTTTTTAAAATAAAAGTGTAATCTGAATGGAAACGAAACCAAGGATACCCAGACACTTAAATCAGCAACCTTGCACTCACTTCATTGTGAACCTGACAATCATGAAATATGAAAACAACAGCTAAGGCTGTCCTTCATCGTGATGAAAAAGCATTAAGAGGCACCAAACGAAAAATTTCAATCGTTAAAAATAGCATTGAGTTAGAGCACCTCTAGGAGTGGAAAACCTCCTTATGTCACTAAATGTGCATTAACAGGGTGTGAATATGGGACTATTTTTAACTACACTTTTTCCATTTAAAATCAGCTTTAAACACATTTGGAACAGTTTAGTTGTTGAAAGGCTTGCTGAGTGATTGTGGAGCCTTGAAGAAAGAGGGATAACTCTGACCTCCAACACTGCTCCAAATATTTTTAAAAATTATCTTTCAGGTCGTTCAAAGGCTGGTGAAATGTTTGTTATAGATATTTCTATAACTGACACCCAGTATTTCTTAAACATACATAGTCAATGTAGCA